CTCCTCAACCACCACCAGTGTGCAGCATCCACTTGGATGATGCGACGGCAGCCACAGGACAACGGCACCAGTGCGCTCACCACACACCAGCTACAGGTGGAGAGGAGAGAGAGTCATAGAGCCAATCAAGTGGTTGGGGATTATTAGGAGGCCATGACTGACAAAGGCCAGGGGGGCAACTGGTCAAGACACCGGGGTTAAACCCCTACTCTTTACGAGAAGTGCCATGGGATTTTTAATGACCACAGAGAGTCAGGACCTCGGTTTAACGTCTCATCCGAAAGACGGATTAGACATTAATGGCTGTGTGTTGAGTTATTTTGAGGGGACATCAAATTTACACTGTTATACAAGCTGTACACTCACTACTTTACATTGTAGCAAAGTGTCATTTCTTCAGTGTTGTCACATGAAAAGATATAATAAAATATTTACAAAAATGTGAGGGGTGTACTCACTTCTGTGAGATATTGTATATATATAAATATTTTTTTTTTATTTAATTTTTTAATTAGGACCCCAAAATAATTAAAACCCCCCTTTGAAAACCCCTTTTAATAATTAAATCATAATGCAAATAATGCAAATCCAAAAATGTTCATCTTAATCTGAATGGCTCCCGCTGAGTTTTCTCTGTACCTTGACGGCCCAGATGGACTGTTCGAGCGGATGGAAGAGCTTGAAGCAGAAGCCGTCCTTCTTGGAGGGTCTCTCGATGAGCTCGCAGGCGTTGAGCAGGACGGTCCCGACCCACTGGCCGTTCTTATTGGTTTTATAGATGAGCAGGACTCCTGGCTTCAGCACACACCACAGCTTGGTCCAGCTCTTCAGCGTGCCTCGGATCTGAAAGAGAAAGAGCGACTCGTACAGGACTGGATGTTTCCTCATGTGGGCTGATCGAAAGCTAAGATCGATTTAACCTCCTTTCCTCCAGACCCTGCAGCTCTTTTTTCACATATTATCATCAATGTGACTATTACTGTGATTATTAGCATGAGTTGTTTACCCCTGCAGCGAAACAGAAAGACTGACAAGTGCTGTTCACTTTTTAATCATGTTTTCGTCTCTTTGGATTTACTACCAAAACTTAATGCATCGGTCAGCTCTGGATGCACTACAACAGATTTAATAAAAAATTAGACAATTTTGAGACCATTTATGCAGAGATGTGCATTAAATGGACATGCATTATAAAGCATGCATTATTCAAACAAGATTTTGCACCATAAAAAAGTGTGTTCTGTAAGAATAAACACATTTTAATGGCAAACCTTGAGCCAGTCGGCCATGACGATGACAGACGGATCAGTGATGGTGCTGAGCAACTCTTTAGTGGCGCGTTTCTTCTCTTCTCTGTAGTTCTTCTTTTGCACCTGAACAGACATGCATGCATGCAAAACATCACATTATTAGTCATTATCTTTAGTAATCAGAATGCATATATAAGAAATGCACAAAAAGCATGCATTGATCAATTAATGAGTGTGGCTGTACCTTGAGTGACTCCTTCTTAGTAAGTTTGTTTCCAGACACCGATACGTCTTTATCTGAGCCATTATAGAGCTTGGTTTCTGACTGCAAAACCAACATAAGGGTTAGTAATTTACACAGCATCATGCACATTATGATATTATGAGCTGTGACTTAGGTTGGGCTAAATTAATGTGGCATAATCCATACATATACATAAATTATTTATACATACACACACATGCGCACACAAATAAAATTAAAATATACAAAATAAATTAATTGATTAAAAATATTAAAACTAAAATATTTAAGAAAAAGTTATTTTATATTGTACAAATATTAAACGGTGCGTGTGTGTATATATAAATGAAACATTACCTGAAATAAAATAAAATATTAAACATTATTAGCATTCAACTAAAACATTTCTCAAATTTTTTTTAGTTTTCATTAAACTGAATTCAAAATTAATAAAAAACAATGCAGACATATTAAAAAAACACCAATATAAATAACAAAACAACAAAATTACTACAACTTTAAGTTAATTAATAAATAAATAAATAAATAAATAAAATGTACATACATGCATACATCAGGGTTATTAATGTTAAAACTGAAAATAAAATTAAAACCAGAAAAAAATAAATTTCTGTTACTTGAAATAAAATAAACATTAACTTTTATTTCAGATATATACATATTAAATAAAAAAATACATAAAAAAATATATAATAAAAATTAAATATTAAACATTATTAATAATAAATATATTTTAAAAAACATATTTCAGCTATATTCAGCCACAAAATGTATCTTTTTTTACTTTTAGTAAAAATGAATAAAAACATAATAAAAATGATGCAGACATATTATAGTATATACTGTACATACTATAACTGTATATACAGTTAAAATACAGTCATAACTAACAAGAAGCATGTAAAGTTTGAACATTTTCTCAGTTCACCTTCCAGGTGGGTCTGAACTTTTAATGTTTAATTTCACCCCGCAGCTTTTCAAAGCCGATTAGGTGAGATATCTCCATGTGGGTTAATCAGCCTTTTGAAAGCGCTCTGCCGCTTGTGTTTGACGGCTCTGTGATTTGGGATTTATTCTGGATGTCGACTGCATCTTCTAATGGTCTGTCTGGATGTAACAGCACGTCTACGACGTCCAAAACCCACCAGAGTGACTCACGCAAACCTGTGACGCAACGAGACGCGGTGACAGACAGACTGAGATTTAGCGTTTATGTGCGGTCACGAATCCGGCTTTATTTGGCCCAGACTAGCCATATCAATGCTGCAATGCATTTGATCACATTAGCGAGTGTGGGATGCTAACTGGGTTATTTCTGAGGCACTGCTCATCAGCATTCGCCCCCCTGCTGTCCCTTCACCTCTGAGACGCTCTTGACTATGTATAATTAATAAACACAGGCTGATGACTGCGGACCTGGCGACCCGTATCGATCCGATTCCAGCCCCAGAGGATCATGGGTAGGGAGGATAAACAGGAGTGTGAGTTTACCTTGCTCTTGGATATGGAGAGTGAGGAGTCTTCTTTCAGAGGCAGGATTTCCTCTTTGCCACGATCAAAACCTGCAAAAACCAAACATTATGATTCAACTCCACTGGTTAGGCTGATATTTAGCCTTATCTGAAAATAACAGGTGTAAACAACACAAATCATCATGTTTATGATGTATGTGCATACATTGTTGTAATCAGTGTGTGCTAGAGTCCCCCCCCCCCCCCCT